CATTTCCACCACAGAGGAAGTGCATTTCCCCCACAGGAAGGTGCATTTCCACACAAAGAAAGAAGGGTTTCTGCACAGGAAGGTGCATTTCCCCCACAGAAATACATCCATAGGTACGATGTATTTCCACCACAGGAAGGTGGGTTTCCCTACAGGAAGGTGCATTTCCCCCACTGAAAGTTTGGTTTCCCCAAAGGAAGGTCCGTTTCCCCCACAGGAATGTGGGTTTCCCCACAGGAAGGTGTGTTTCCTCCACAGGAAGATGTGTTCCCTCATAGGATGGTGCATTTTCCCCATAGGAAGTTGTATTTCCCCAACAGGAAGGTGCATTTCCTGCATAGAAAGATGTGTTCCCTCATAGAAAGGTGCGTTTCCCCACAAGAAGGTTGGTTTCCCCAAAGGAAGGTGTGTTTCCCCCAGAGGAATGTGTGTTTTCCCACAGGAAGATGCCTTCCCCCACAGGAAAGTGGGTTTCCCCGCAGGAAGGTGTGTTTTCCCCACATGAACATGCATTCCCCAACAGAAACATGAGTTTCTCCCATAGGAAGGTGCATTCCCCACTGGAAGATGTGTTCCCCTTAAGGAAGGTACATTTTCCCCACAGGAAGGTGTGTTTTCCCCAAAGGAAAAAGTGTACCCACACAGGAAGAAGGATTCCTGCACAGGAAGGTGGATTTTCCCCACAGGAAGAAGTGATTTCCCACAGGAAGGTGCTTTTCCCCAACAGGAAGGTGCTATTCTCCCATAGGAGCATGCTTTTCCCCCACAGGAAGGTGGATTTCCCCCACAGGAAAGTATGTTTTCCCCAAAGGAAAAAGTGTACCCCCACAGGAAGAAGGATTCCTGCACAGGAAGGTGGGTTTTCCCCACAGGAAGAAGGGTTCCCCCCAGGAAGGTGCATTTTCACCACAGGAAGGTGCATTTCCCCCACAGGAACACGCATTCCCCCACAGGAAGGTGTGTTCAACACAGGAAGGTGCATTTCCACCACAGGAAGGTGCATATCCCCCACAGGAATGTGTGTTTCCCCCACAGGAGAAGGGTTCACCCACAGGAAGATGGGTTCCCCACAGGAAGATGCATTTCCCCCACAGAAACATGCGTTTTCCATAACGGGAACATGCATATTCCCACAGAAATGTGCCTTTCCTCCACAGGAAGGTACGTTCCACCACAAGAACATGCGCTCTCCCATAGGAAGGTGCGTTTCCCCCACAGGAAGGTGTGTTTCCCCACAGGAAGGTGTGTTTCCCAGACAGGAAGATGGGTTTCCCAACAGGAAGGTCCACTTCCCCCATAGGAAGGTGCATTTCCCCCACAGGAAGGTGCGTTTCCCCTACAGGAAGGTGGGTTTCCCCCACAGGAAGGTGTGTTTCCCCCACAGGAAGGTGCATTTCCCCCACAGGAAGGTGCATTTCCCCCAAAGGAAGGTCCATTTCCCCCACAGGAAGGTGCATTTCTCCCACAGGAAGGTGCATTTCCCCCACAGAAATGTGCATTGCCCCTATAGGAAGATGATTTCCCCCACAGGAAGAAGAAGAGTTCCCCCAAAAGTAGAAGGGTTCTCCCACAGAAAGGTGCATTTCCCCCAGAGGAATACGCATTCCCCCACAGAAAGGTGGGTTTCCCCACAGGAAGGTGTGTTCAACATAGGAAGGTGTGTATCCCCACAGGAAGGTGGATTTTCCCCCACAGGAAGATGCATTTCCCCCACAGGAAGAAGGGTTCCCCCACAGGAAGGTGCATTCCCCCCCCCAGAAAGGTGCCATTCCCCCACAGGAAGGTGGGTTTTTCCCATAGGGAAAAGGGTTCTCCCCCAGGAAGATGCATTCACCCACAGGAAGGTGCTTTTCCCTCCCCCACCCCCAAAGATGTGTTTCTTATAGGAAGGTGCATTTCCCACACAGAAACATGTGTTCCCCCATAGGAAGGTGTGTTTCCCCCATGGGAAGGTGGGTTTCCCCACAGGAAAATGTGTTCCCCCAACAGGAAGATGGGTTTCCCCACAGGAAGGTCCATTTCCCTCACAGGAAGGTGCATTTCTCCCACAGGAACATGTGTTCCCCCACAGGAAGGTTGGTTTCCCCACAGGAAGGTGCGTTTCCCCCACAGGAAGAAGGGTTCCCGCACAGGAAGGTGCATCCCCCCCCTCCAAGAAAGGTGCCATTCCCCCACAGGAAGGTGGGTTTTCCCCAATGGAAGAGGGTTTTCCCCACAGGAAGGTGCATTTCCACCACAGGAAGGTGCTTTTCCCTCCCCTCCACCCTCAAAGATGTGTTCCTTATAAGAAGGTACATTTCCTCCACATGGAGGATTCCTGCACAGGAAGCTGCATTTCACCCACAGAAAGGTGCCTTTCCCCCGCAGGCACGTGTCTTTTCCCCAAAGGAAAAAGTTTATCCCCACAGGAGGAAGGATTCCTGCACAGGAAGGTGGGTTTTCCCCACAGGAAAAAGTGTTTCCCCACAGGAAGGTGCCTTTCCCCCACAGGGAGGTGGGTTTCCCACAGGAAGATGCTCAACTACTGAGCCAAACCAGCCAGACAAAAACACTGTCTGTTGATAAACACAGTAGAAAATAGGAGAGGAGGCAAATGCACACACCCTCCTGCCATTCACACACATTAAGTCTCCTTAACAAGGGGCCACAACTCTCAACACCCAGGGCCCCTTTAAGGAGAGGCGGGAAGAGGGGAGCACAGGTGCACCTAGTAAAATCTTAGCCCTCACTGGGCTCACTGGCCTCCCTGTCTCTGCAACTGGTTCTTGTTTCATATGCAGTCCTAACCTGCAGACTCAGCGTGAGGCTAGCTGCAGGGGACCGAGGTACCAGCCAGAAACGCCAGTTTAGAGGAAACTCCGACATCACAATCCTTTACTGTTTGTATACTGTTTTTCATTAACCCTCTCCCGAGGATATTTTTCTACTGATTTCCAGAGAGAGAGGAAGAGGGATATAGAGAAACATCGATGTGAGAGACACATCGATCGGCTGCCTCCTGCATGCACCCCGACCAGGTCCAGGGATCACGCCTACAACCGAGGTACATGCCCTTGACCAGAATCGGACCCTTCAGTTAGCAGCTGAGGCTCTCTCCACTGAGTAAAATCGGCCAGGGCCAATGTCACCATCCTTAAAACAACTGCCATGTAAGTGAACCCCACAAAGTGCAGCATTCCGATTAGACCCGAGACATGCCCTTTGAGCTCAGATTATGTTCAATTCACAGAAAAAGAGATGTGAATGATTGACACATAAAATGAAACATTCCGCAGGGAAAAAAGGATGCCCCCCTGTCTCAGCTCAGGAGACCACAACCAGGGAGGCTGTGTGAGGGGAATCTCCCCCAGCCCCCCCAGTATGGGACAATTCGCACAACCTTTCTGCAAAGCAATTTGGTCATCAGCCTTGACGTCCGGCGATCCAGCCTAAGGCACAAACAGGAAGCCGTCCAAATCCCCAACAGTGTTGCCCATCCAGTGTGGCTCAGTGGTTGATGTCGACCTATGAACCAGGAGGTCACAGTTCAATTCTCAGTCAGGGCACATGCCTGGGTTGTGGGCTTGATCCCCATTAGGGGGCATGCAGGAGGCAGCCGATCCATGATTCTCTCTCATCATTGATGTTTATCTCTCTCCCTCTCCCTTCCTCTCTGAAATCATTAAAAAATATATTTTTTAAAATCTCCAACAGTATTACACAAATATGGGACAGAGGCACAAAAACACTTCCCATAAATGTGATGTCATGCTGGCTCCATACATGTTACAAAGCTGAAGTTACAGTCTCTCTCTCTCTCTCTCTCACACACACACACACACACACACACACACTTACACACACACACACTGCTGGGCTGGACCATGCACTGCCATCCAACGAATGACTCCCACACGCACCAATTCTGCCATCGCTTTGCACCGCGCTGCCCGGCCCATACACCAGCCTGCGTTCCGCAGGCACGAGACCCCCCTCCCTCTGTGCCGGGCCCTCCTGTGCCCACCTGGCTGCCACAGGGCCCAGGACGCAGACTCCTCAGCCTCCACAGATCTTGCCTTTGCCACAGGGAGGGCCTCGCCCAGGCCCGGGCTCCGGGGCGAGCAGGCACCTACCGCTCCTCTCCCAGAGGGAGCGGGTCCTGCAGCCCCTCAGCACGAAGCCCAGGCCACACAGACACACGGCAAGACACGCCCCACGGCGAGCTGTGTTCTGTGGCCACCGCCGGGATCCTCCAGCACCAGCAGCTCCCAAGCTGGAGAGCCGAGGTTTCCAGACCAGAGCCCAGCCGCCGCCTGCGAATCTGAATTTCACCCCCGATTCACATCCACCGACACCCGCGACAAGGACAAATGCTCGGAGCGCAGACGGACACTCCCGCACCAGTAAGCCCGGGAAGAGGACTCCGCCGAAAACGTGGCATTTCCGCCTGAATTGGGCGTTTCGGAGGCAGATATAGTTTGTCGACCAAACACTGTGTGGTGTGGTGACCAAGGAAAATGTCTTTGAAGTCGACATGAAAAGTAGAAAAGGTCGGTAAACACGCTGCCCTTTGCCGCGGCCAGGCGCAGGGCGTCCGATGTGAAATCGATAACAGAAGCCCCGAGTTGTCATTCATTTACAAAGAAACTAAAGATTTGAACCATAATTAAAAGGAATCAGCAACAGCTCTGCAGGCGTGGCTCCGTGGTTGAGCATCGACCTGTGAACCAGAAGGTTAGGCTCCAATTCCTGGCCAGGGCACAGGCCCGGGTTGCAGGCTCCATCCCCAGTAGGGGGCGCGCAGGAGGCAACCGATCCATGATTCTCTGTCATCATGGATGTCTCTCTCTCTCTCTCTCTCTCTCTCTCTCTCTCTCTCTTCCTCCCTCCCTCCCTCTCCTTTCCTTTCTCTGAAATTAAAAAAAAAAAAATCTTTTTTAAAGAATCAGCAATAGATTCAATGAGCCTAGTGCATGAGCCGGAGTCTGCATGCTGTGAGGACTTGCCCAACGCGGGAGGCTCTGGGTTAGGTTTACAAAACGGGAAGACAGAGCCTTAGTTACTTAGAAGTAAACAACAGGGCAGATGTCGTTTTGAAGGACGGAAAAGCACCACCAGAGCATTCTGTGACTCAGGTGAACGGCCACAGATAATAGGGGTTTCCTAACGGGGTGTGGAGGTCTCAGTGAGCTTCCTTCAGGTGGCGCGCCTGCCCTGCGTGTCCCACCCCCACCACACAGCAAATGGCATCTTTGTTGTGGCCGCACTGCAAACACTACGCAGCCACGCCCAGCGGCCAGCACACACAACACACACATTCTCCGCCCCAGAGCGAACAGGCAGGTAAACCAGCGCCAATTCTGTGGTCCCACTTTGCACCAACATGTCAGAGAAACCCATCTCGGGTCTCCTGTCTAAGTCAGAAACGCCTCAGACTCCAACAGGCAGCCAATGAGTGCAGTGGCTGCTGGGGGATTAAGGACCGCAAGGACCCGCCAGGACAAAGTCGGATCCCATCATCCCCCCTGAGATCTAGAAAACAGAATAAGTAGGATGGGTCCCTGGATCACAAGGTCAGCTGGGTTCCTGCTTTTTGGGGTTCACCCAACCCCTGCAGTTAAGAATGTCGCCAAGGGAGTGGGACAACCGACAAGCATGGCCTTCCCACAGGAGCCTGTCCCACTGAAACAGGAATGATATAAAGCAGTGGTTCTCAACCTTCCTAATGCCGCGACCCTTTAATACAGTTCCTCATGTTGTGGTGACCCCCAACCATAAAATTATTTTCGTTGCTACTTCATAACTGTAATGTTGCTACTGTTATGAATCATAATGTAAATATCTGATATGCAGGATGTATTTAGGTGACCCTTGTTGTTGTAATGTACCCCGCGAATCACAGAAGGACGCCTCAAGAAGTCGAATTAAAGAGTCACATTTATTGCAATCTGGGACTATGAGGGGCCATTTCCCAAATCTCATAGTGATAAGATGTCCGCAAAACCAGACTTATATAGGCGAAGTTCACAAAGGTATTGATTACATCCCAGGGTTTGGAATGAGGAACCTGGTTCACAAATAAAGCAGTTTACAGAAGCAGAATTAAGCATGTTAATTATAGTTTGGGGTCTCGGGGTCACTGAATTGACAGAAACACCTTATCTAGAGCCCTCTGGTCTTGAGACCACTGAGTTGCCACGAACTCATTATATTTAGAGTAATTGCGCTGTCCTGGTCTTGGGACCACTGAGTCTGTTACAGGAAAACTGGACAAGAACCAGACAGTGCTCTGAGAGTTAGGAGTTACACTTTATTCACCGCAGCGGGCTTAGGGAAATGAATCCAAAATCTAAGCACAACTACAAGCAGAACTTCCCTTTTTATAGAAGAGCCAGCCCTTTGTGTGCTTGCTGGCAGAGAAGAGCCAGCCCTTTGTGTGCTTGCTGGCAGTGGCCTTGAAAACTATACAGTTCTATCCAATTAAAAAATGCACCTGGCATGGCATTGGGTGTATCTAGTCTCTGGCCTACAAGGCCAGATAGCTAAGTTTATCTCCCCCATTATTCAAGCAGGCTAAATCTGAAGTCAGTAAAAATATATATATTTTTAAAAGATTTAAGATATTCCTGAGTATAAAGATACATATTGTGTGGTAGTGAGATTGTTCAGTCACTTTCCCTTTGGTGAATTTGAAAAAAAAATTAGAAAAGGGGAGATAGTGAATTTAGAACACTAGAAAGAGTCACATTAGTAGGGAGAACATTTAAAGTTTTAAGGACCCCTGGCCTGTATGGCTCAGTTGGTTGAGCATCATCCCATGCACAGAAAGGTTGCTGGTTCTATTCCCAGTCAGGGCACATTTCCAGGTTATGGATTGGATCCCCAGTTGGAATGTGTATGGGAGACAATCGATCAATATTTCTCGTATGGATGTTTCTCTCTCCCTCTCACTTAAAAAAAAAGCATATAAAAAGAAAGTTTTAAAGCAAAAACTGAAATAGTTCAGAAAAAATAATAAAATACACCACGAAATTTTTCACCCCAATAAATAAGGAGCTTTACACATGGAGAGCATATTCCACACTTTATTAAGTACACAAGTGCCATGAAAAATATTTTTGTACAGGAAAAAAATTGTATGGCTATTATTGCTTCATCACATCTAAGGTCATTTCTAACTCTAACCATATTAGACCAATCTATCTATTAAAATGCATATTTCCGTGTAGATTCTTCTTAGAAACATGTGTTTGATAGTCATTTTTAGCCAGTGGCTATGGTAGGCATGTGGACACAGAGATGAATAATGGAATGAAGAACATAAAACCAGGAGACCAGATATAAAACATACTAGCATGTCAAAGACTACATTACCAATAAGAGCAGTAAAGGTAATGCTATCGAATATAACAAGGAACAAATAAGTGAAAACTGTGGTCTCAGAGTTTCCTCTAAAATAAAATTATGCAAATGACCTTAGTAGCCAAGTATAATTTTGTCCATAGGGGTATTATAATTCATGACTATTCTCTCAGGAAAACAACAGAAAAATTACTTGGAATGAAATATGTCATAAGATAATAAATGATGCTAAAGTAATTCATGTTAACCTATGAGATAAATGAGAATTTCCAATTACATATGGTCCAAATATTGGATTAATTTGTGTCAGAACTTCTGGCCCTAAGGATTTGAACCCTGCATTCCTCAGCAATTGTTCAGCCTAGTACAGTGGGCTCATGAAAAGCTTACCTGCCAAGGAATCTTTCCAGGGCCCTCTTTATGTCCTTGTTCCTCAGACTGTAGATGAAGGGGTTCAGCATGGGTGTGACCACAGTGTACATCACCGAGGCGGTTGCACTTGAGTGTGTACTGTGGATAACAGTAGAGCTGAGATACACTCCTAGGAGCGTACCATAAAATAAGGAGACAACTGAGAGGTGAGATGCACAGGTAGAAAATGCTTTATACCTCCCCTGGGCTGATGGGATTCCACGTATGTAGGAAAGTATCTTAGAGTAAGAGTAAAGGATCCCAGCCAGGGGACAAATACATAGCAGCCCAGCTGTAAAATACATTATAATGTTGTTAAGAAAGGTGTCAGAACAGGCAAGTTGGACCACCTGATTGAATTCACAGAAGAAGTGTGGGATTTCCAAGTCTGAGCAGAAGGACAGCCTCAACACCATTAAGCTTTCTAGCAAGGAATTCAAGACACTCATGATCCAAGACAGCAGAACCAGCAGTCCACAGAGCCGGGGGTTCATGATGACCATGTAGTGCAGGGGGTGGCAGATGGCCACAAACCGGTCATAGGCCATCACAGTTAGAAGGAAGATGTCCAACCCAGCAAAAAGTATGAAAAAATACATCTGTGTGATGCAGCCTTCATAGGTGATGACTTTGCTCTTTGTCTGGATGTTCCACAGCATCTTTGGGATGGTGGTGGAGGTGAAACAGATGTCTACCAAGGACAGGTTGGAGAGGAAGAAGTACATGGGCGTGTGGAGGTGGGAGTCTGAGCTGACAGCCAAGATGATGAGCAGGTTTCCAAACACAGTGACCAGGTACATGGAGACGAAAAGCCCAAATATGAGGGGCTGCAGTTCCAGTGCCTGTGAAAGTCCCAGGAGAAGAAATTCTGAAATTTGTGTACCATTGCTTGGTTTCCTGTGTTGCAGGACGTGACTACCCAAAAATAGAAAAAAAATGAATAACTAATTGTCACATTAGCCAGCATTAGTAACTGAGGATTAATGACATTTTTATATTTTATTATCAGGAAAATAATTCATATTTCTGGTGTGTGATTTATTCCCCATTATGGTATCTCTATTGGCATTTCTCAATAGAATTTCCTTTTCTACCATCAACCTGTTCTTCAAACATAATATATATTGCAGCTTTATTGAGAATATCTTTCATGCATTTGAGGAATGTATATTGATCATAGACCATGTTCCAGGCACTATTCAGTGTATGAAATGCTGAAAATTGGTCTTCCGTCAGTTAATTGTCAGCAATTAGTTCAATGTTCACTTTTTTTAGCATCATAAATTAGTCATTAATTCATTAATCAGGTAAATCAACAACCATAGACTGGTGCCTATCAAGAGACCTCAGGTACATGTGCTTGGCTTTGATTCTCTCTGACCCTTTCCTGTAGTACCTACTGAACTTTTGGGCTCACCTGATTGAGAACTCTGAGGGGAAGGTCTCCATGGGAAAGTCCAACCTCCTGGATGGGTGATGATGGAGACTGAAGCTCTCTGCCCAGACAAGACAGCAGAAAGGAGGCAAGCACAGGTCTTCTGGACAAATGTAGGATTCCAAAAGCAACAACCAGGTCCCACCCAGCCCAAGATCACACACGCTGAGAGACTGGAGATGAGGAGATATTTACAGCTCCCTATGTCTGCTCATTAGGTGCATTTCTGTCTTGTTACTGCAACTTCAAACACCTGATTTCCCTGTGGGTCTGGGCAGAAGGAAATGTTTTTCTGGAGATACTGTTCCCAAAAGACAAGCTTAGGATTCAAGTGAGTCCAGTTTTTACTAGTTCATCCTTATAACATTTGTTGGGTTTCAGAGGACTAACATTCAAGCACCTTATCTCAACCCTGATTTAAAATTTTTCCAAATTTAAGACTGAGGATGCAGTCCAGATTAGAAAACTTGAATCTCCAAATATTGACTTTTTATAGGGACACAGCCCCTAATATCTACAGACAATTGCTATTTTTCTTTTCAATAAAGGGGGAAACTAAGTTCCTTTGATGTAAACTTTGTGTGTTACACACTGGGCTTCATGACACATTAGCCAAAAGAATTTGACATTTCATCTTATATCACAAGTTAAGAGCTGTCATTTAGTCCCTCACTATGAAATATTTGTTATAAGAAACATATTTCTATTATTTTACACTCTAATCTAAGCTTGAAGTAGGAAAGTAAATAGACTCTTCCCTGTAGCCTCCAGAAAAATCCTAGTTCTGCAAACATCTTGATTTTAGCCCACTGAGACCCATTTCCTGTTTCTGACCTCAGGAATTGTAAGAGCATGAATGTGCTTGTTTTAAATCACTTGTGTGGTAATTTTACATTAGCATTAAAAAGTGAATACACCTTTATCCAATGAAAATTTTCTTCAGGAAACTGAGATCAAGTGTCTCCATTCATTCATTTATCTTTCCCTGGGTAAAGGCATTTTGAGTTGTAATCCCCCCTTTAAGTAAAGGAAATGTGTAATCAGTTTGGAGATATCAGCCTCTTTAGCTGACAGAGAATTTCTTATTGCATAAATGTAAATGTGCTCCAGATTTTGATGCCTTTGAGGCATTAACATGGGAAAAGTAATTCATCATTTAAATTCATGTCTACCATTTACTTTGAATCTTCATTCCTAAATTTCTACATCTTTTAATTTTATGTTAAGTCAAAAATTCATTCTTTACATTTCTATCCTCTTTAAATTTCTCTTAATTTTCCTTTCAATCTGAAATATGTGATTATAAATGAATCTGTGTTTGTGTACATATAAGTAGGTATGTTTGTTTGAAATAAAAATGTATATGAATAAGCACACATATACATACACACTTTATTTTGGCTCGATGAAATATGGCCATATACTTTATTTATTGCTTAAAATATTCCTCTGAAGTTATATTTACTATCCCCATGATGAATGTTGCAAACAATAGATGAGATATATAGCCATATTTCAATAGAAATTTAGGCTCAGGTATATTAAATGTTTAGCAATTACTATAAGAAGCCATTAAAGTTTATTGTGCACTTTCTTGACATATACAAATGGAAACATGAGGTATGGACTGCAATTTTTGTATGACATTTTTCATCAAATAGTGGATTTTTATCATGTTCGGTTTACATTATGTAATTATACTTAAAAAAAAAAACATGGAAGGGAAAAAGCCTAGGATCTAGAGCTCAGGTAGCTGATTCACACTGAGAAATGGTAGGAGGTATTTCTACTACCTGGAAGAAAAGCTAAGTTTCAAGGATATTGGAACCACAGAAGTAAAATAAAGTAATTCATATTCAGTACTATTTGTTTTCTTTAAAATAGAAGATAAAACTAGATATAGAAATAAGTTAAACCGATGATGTACTGCTTCAAAGGAGATCACCATGGCCACACACAACATCATGAATGAGCTTTAGAAACACATGTAGAGACTCACAGACTCATAGGGAGACTGGCAGAGCTCAGAAAAACTCCCTAACATGCAATCTCACTTGGTAATAATGGCATTATATTTAATAATTTGCTTGTAGGATGGCTTGTCATACAGCAATAGCTTAGTGATATAATAATCAAAGTAAACATAAGTGAGGACAGTAGTTATCTGCTGTTGTTCTCATTTTTTCTGAATTATAAACTTTTAATTAACTGATAAATATTGACCTTTTAGCCTATAACAAATAATACATCTCCTTTTAAAGCACCCATGGAACATTGACAAATGTCAGTTAACTTCTTAGCAACTTATTTCAAAACATCAGAAGAAAAAATTCAGATATATTCTCTAAATACAAGGCCATAAAACTCAACTAAAAAAAAACTTTATGGGGGAATTTTTTAAGCAATCTCCTCAAGTACAACTTGGTCAAAACAGAATTATTCAAACTATTTTAAAAGATTACAATGAGCCCAACAGGTGTGTCTCAGTGGTTGAGCATCAACCCATGAACCAGGAAGTCACAGTTCGATTGGTTTGATTCTCAGCCAGGACACATGCCTGGCCTCAGATGCAATCCCTAGGAGGGGGCATGAAGGAGGCAGCAGATCAATTATTCTCTCTCATCATTGATGTTTCTATCTCTCTGTCCCTCTCCATTCCTCTCTGAAATCAATACAAATATATTTAGGGGGAAAAAAGTTTACAATGACAACTCTGTATGTCAAAACTCGGAGTGTGATGAAAGTTGTACTCAGATGAAAAATATCCTTAAAATTTTCAGTTAATAAAAATAAAGCATAGAGAAGCATGGATCAGACAGTCAAACCTCAAAGGGAAGGCAGGGGAGGGTGGGGTTAGGGGGAGAGATCAACCAAAGGACTGTGTGCTTGCATATAAGCATAACCAATGGCACAGACACTAAGTTGGTGAGGACATGAGCGGGGAGGTGGGGGGGGGGATGGGAGGGATAAGGTGACATATGTAATACTTTAATCAATAAAGAAAAATAAATAAATAAATAAAATAAAGCATGAGAATAAATTGAATTCATTAATAGAATAAAACAAGCTTCAGGGAAGCAGATTAAGTTTATAACAAAGACAAAGACAGGAATTTATGGCTAGAAAAACAGAATTTATAAATCCAAACCATATTGATTTCTAATAAAACTAATCAAGAAAAAAGTTAGGAGACGCAAACAAAATTAGATATTTTAAGGTAGAATAACAATTTTTTCCCTGAAAATATTTTTATGATTTAAGAGTGAGAAAGGAAGGGAGAGGGAGAGATGGAAACTTCAATCGGCTGCCTCCTACCTGCGCCCCCATTTGAGATAGAGCCCGAAACCCAGGCATGTGCCCTGACCAGGAATTAAACCTCTCAGTGCTTGGGACAACACTCAACCAACCAGGATGCTTACCATTTTTATTTATTTATTTATATTTAGAAGACAGCATTCATTGTTACTGTGTTAGTTTCTTTAAGACAACTATATATAAAAACTCGTTGGAGGTTCATTTCCCTGTAAGCAGGATGGAGGGTGTAGTCCTCGCCCTTTCATAGGAAAACTGTCAACCCTGTGTCATACAACTAAACAAGAATGCAATTTCTTGAGTCATTCTTTGATCAAAAAGGATAAATATTATCCTGAGCAGAATAGAGATGTACTGATAATGATCATTTACCATCCCTTCCATTCTTATGAAAAATTTAGAGGGAGGGAATCTATATTCTTTATGTTAATAAAAGAGTCACATTATAGAAAGCACTGAAAATTTTCAACCCAATAAAATATAGAGAAACACCAACCAGTCTTCAATCATATGTATAAATCCCTTTCCAAATGGGTATCATTTCTCCATACTCCAATGAATAGATGCATAGTATGAAGAATAAACATTTTACATAGTAATACAATGTGTGATTTAAAAATTTGCTCCACATTGAAATTCATCTGTGATTTTAAGGTGGTATTAGGACAACCTATTTATTAAAATTTATCTTTCAATGAAGAGTTCTCTTGGAGACATGGATTTGATAATCATTTTGTAAGTGGCTAAGGTAGGTCTATGAACACTGAGCTGAAAGAGAACAGGATTCCAATGAGGAGAATAAAACCCAGTGACCAGCTATTAAACACACTGGTATGTCAGAACCTGCATTATCAGGAACAGTGAAGTATGGTACCTATTTGCTTTGTTTAACAATGGGCAGGTTATTTTGATTTTCTGAATTGTATAAATCATCCCATTCGATTGAATGCCTTATTGATTGAATGACTATCCCATTGATTGTGATCTTACTGGTTATCGAAGCACATTCTTCTGTACCTGGGAAACAGGGCAGCACAATTACCATAAATTGTT